TTTAATGCTTCCATCAAAGAGATGTTTACATTGTTTGTTACACGTTTGGACTTTATTATTGGATTTCCGGAATCATAAAAGTCGTTTAGATAACGCACAAAAACATTACCTGACTTCCATATTAATTTCTGTAACAAAGATTTAGACTTTAGGTATAAGTACAAATAGGGCCCGACGGTCCCGTGTTGCCACCTTACGTGACAAAATTCTTTCGACGCAATAATTTCAAAAATAATAATGAATATTTTGAATAGCTCATGACTATGTTGAAGGAAACATATGTCTAAACAATTTCAGTGATGCATAAAATTCAATAAAAATTTGTTTATCAGTTTTGTTCAATATAATTGTCCAATTTAATATTTTAAAGTATTTACTGAACTTTAAAATCATTAATACTTGATGATATTTCGATGGGTAATTGGATCTGGACCCCCTGAATGTCGAAAATATTAATTAGTCTTTGCTGTCTATTCAGTAGCAATTGACTATATATACTATGACTATTCAGATTAGAATAAGTTAGTTTAAATTTGTTTGTTTCGTTATTTATTAGTTATTTATACATTGTTCACATTATCGGTTATTTTATAATATTGATCTGGGATACATCAATAAGAATATATTTAAATTATTAAATATAGTTTCCTGTATTTCTGTACCATTGTTATAAGTGTAGCATTCAAATGCTTGCGAATAGTTTAATGCTTATCCTCGAAAATCCTAACGGTTAAATTCAGTGGGATCTCTATTTCAAAAATATTTTTCTTTACAAAAACAAAAACCATTCACGAAGAATATTCTAAACGTCATCTTGTACCAGAGCTGAGCTTTATACCTACTTATAACCGGGATACCCACCGCCTGTGGTGAAAAGTCTTGAATCTATACAATAAAGCGAGCGGGCGGTCTTCTATTCAGTGCAGGTAGGGTAATTAGAATAATACGAGTAGACCAAAGTAATATTATTTATTGAATAATTAATTCACAACTTAGCACAGGTACATATAGGTAACACATAATCGTCCTGTAAATCATAACAATCAAATTGAAACAACCTTTTATAAAATTTTATTACAAAATAATGTATAAAAAGATATTTTGAGGTCACAGTATTGCTAAATTCTTTTTTTTAAGTCTTAAATTCTCTTTTGTTTTTTTTGTTACTTCTTTTACTGACAAATTGGCTTTTAACGTAGATTACAGTTTGATGATAAATATTCTGAAATGGAAAATGTTGAGATGTGGCGAATAAAAATATTCATAAAATTAAAATGAAAGGATTTACGTCTATTAGTAGAAGTGTGATTTATAAAATAAGTACTTGAAGCCCAAATCGCGGGAGGAATATGTCCATCAGTTTTCAAATATTTATTATTTACTCATTTCTATATTAAACCACTTTCACTTCTTTAGGTAACAATGTATCTGTTTTGACAACTAAATAGGTAATTAGACAAAATAATGAGTATTATTAATTTAAAAAAAGGGAGCTTAAATAATTAGAAGGATATAGTCCGGGCCCAGTTGAACGGTCAAGCTTATTCCAGTGGAAGCAATAAGGAGGATTATTTTACGTTTCGGCTCAGCTAACATGCTTTATCTAGCACTACAACCCATGAAAGTGTGGTAAAAAGCATGCTCTTATTTACACGGTTGTGAAACGGGACGATTAACAGAGACATCGAAGAAAGATATGTCGTCAAACTGGATACAATAAAGTATGAGATTAGAAAGTACAGTCATGGATGGCATACAACGAAAGCAGCTAAAATGGTACGAACATGTCCAATGAATGAAAGACAGTAGACTCCCGAAACAAGTACCTGTATGAAGACCTACAGGAATCCAGAAGAGAGGCCTACCTTAAAAAACACGAATGGAAGGAATAAGAAACTCAATGAGCTCGAAAGAACTTAAAGAACAATGGAACAACCAAATTGAATAAAAAATGGACGTTTTATAGAGATTATATTATATTATAAGTACATTATTATTATATCATATTATATATAGTTCATCTAATTTACTTACAGTTGCACGTCATTATCATTGACAGAGATCGAAGTTGACATAGTTGCCAAAGTATAAAAAAATCCTGACTCTATTTTAAATCAAATAGGTCACATAATTATTGCAAAAGTATTAAAATCTCTTTACAACGACTATTGAAATTCTTACGTGACTTTTTTTACGCGTATATAATAAAATATGTCTAGTGGCTGGAATACCAGTGTACTCGTCAAAGTGATTGTAAAAAAGAACACACCTACCGCCTAAATATTTCGTGTTGGTATCATGTGACCTCACGAACTATGATGCGGATGACGTGCAACGGTAGGTAAATTAGATGAAGTATATATTTATATAAAATCAAGCGTGTTTTATATTGTTATTTGTTTATATTAACAGAGTTTAATGTAATAAATTTAAAGAAATACAATATTAAACGAATAAATATAATCCCACAACCTCATTTTTTTTAAAACGTCTTTAATATTTTAAGAATATTATAGAGACCGTACTAGTCCAGAATCTTGCGGAATCCGGAATTCGAGTTGTGACCACTAAACGAGCCGGCTTTCCCGCAAACCACTACGGGATTGCCGAGTGGATTAATTGGGGGAGCATTTACGGCCAGCACGACAATAGCCTAAGATATAAACTGGCAAGCAGGAGGAATTACCTTTGCCCTTTTCCTGTCGTCAACACCAATATGGGGAAAATCCACCTTTTAATATGTAGTTTCCGCTCACCTCTAGCCTCCGAACGACGATTTGTTTTTATTTATGGGGATGGAATTTAAATCCGGAAATAGCCGTACCTTTTCTTTGCTAATGCCTGCATTGTCACAGCTATTTCAAACTAAAGTCCTTAAAAGGGTTTAGATGGCTACGTAAATCTGCAATAAAAGGAGGGGATTACGAAATTGGAGATAGTGCTGTCAACTAAGCGACTAAACTAAGTTAGATAAAAATAAAAGAATTGTATAAATAAGTTTTATTACTACAATTTCATTCCAGAATATTATATACAAGAGAATCTTTGATTTTTGCATTTCTAAATAATCTATGTTTGTTTCTTTATTTACAGAAACTACACTTTTAGCCCATTTTCTCCTACTATTTAGCTTCTGGTTGTAATTTAGCAGCGGCATTAAACATGGACATAAAAAGCACGAGTTAAAAACACCAAGATGTACACAAAATAACATAATTAAGATAAGAAAGTCTGAAGGGACTTCAAATAGACCATGTACTGAAAAGACATCGATTCGGACCATATGCTAGTGATTACAAAATGTAAGACAAAAACAACGAAGAATAAAAGGCGAAAAGCACAAAAAAATGGGACGTAGATAAATCCAAAGAGAAAGAAGTAAGAAGAAGATTTGTACAAGACTTAAATACAGAAGAAAGTGGTTGACAAAATGCAAAATAAAATAAGACATAATTGGTTGCAACGGCTAGCTCATCCATTGCACCTTGAAACCCCTCAGGGGTGTTGTTCGGCATAAACTAATTTAATTTGAGAAATCGGGAATTATTAATAAAATAATTTTTCAACACATATCTTTATTAATTTTATAAGTTAATCAAATAATAAATCAAAATATAATAACAATTAAAAATTGAGGTTCTAGCAACAGGGAATTAAGCATCTATATACAAAATTCAAAGAAAGAAAGAACTTAGTTTAACTCTATGAGAAATCCTCCTATTGCTCTCTTATATATATATATATATATATATATATATATATATATATATATATATATATATATATATATGCTCTATATGCCTCTAAGCCAAAACCACGTGGATCCTCAAAACCGAGATGGATTTTCTTATTCCAAAAACAAGGTGGATTTTCTTATATCATAACCAAGGTGAAAGAAGTAGATTTTCTTATATCATAACCAAGGTGAAAGTAGATTTTCTTATATCATAACCAAGGTGAACGTGGCCAGACCGTTGGAAGTTTCTGACCACGAGGACTTATTTTTTAGTACCTTGTCGTTTGATGGTTTATTTTAAAAAGAAATTAAATCGGATCGGATTGATAGAAGTAAATTGTTTAGTGGTGGGGTTTCTGTTTCTTGTATGATAAAGTTAGCGAAAGTATAACTACGAGGAGACTTAAGAAATTAATCGGTGAATTTATTTGTAATAGGAAAATATTGAAATGAAATATAGGAATACAAACAAAGGAAACATAAGTTATTATCAACGAAAATCAAATAGTATGAGCAAAAAATAATGGAAAGTACTTTGAAATTAATAAGAACAAAAATGTAACGTTTTAAACGTTACATGGTTTGACGATGAGTGCAAATTAGTAGTGGAAGAAAAGAATAAAACAAGATTGAAATGGTTAAGCACAAGCAAAGAAGAGGTACGAGAAAAATACAAATATCAAAGGCAAAAGACAAAGAAATTTTTTAAATCGAAAAAGTAGAAGAAATGATGAACAACATAGAATCAGAAAATAAAAGACATAACTCAAAACCATTGTACCAATACTTTTAAAAATAGGTAAAAACAGAAAAACAGCGGGAGAAGACGGAATATGTGCAGAATTTTTAAAATAAGGTAAATCACATCTGAAGCGTTGATTCCTCTTTCATCCTTTTCATTTGAACTTTCGCCATTAAGCAATTCGCAGTACCAGTCAAGTTCTTGTAATTTAAGGGATTTTTTTTTCTTTCGGGAATAGCCCAAGTCAATTTTTTTCTGAGATGGTCAACTTAATATCGGAAAATTTTGGTTTCAAAAGTTTTTCAAAATTTTCCAACCCACTGGTAAAATAATAGTTTATTGACCAAATACGAATGGCCCTGACTGTAAATACAAGTAATATTTCTGTTACTTAAACTGGAGCTTTAAATCTAAGCCAGAAGTACAGCGAATGAATAAAGGCGAAGTGTCGTAATAATATCATACTCATAAAGAATCCAAATAATTTACAACAGAACCTATTTCAATTGATCCCCTACCTACCTGATCTTCATAAAACGCATCACTAATAGGTGTTTTGGGCAAAGGCTGCACCTGCTGCATATCGAAGCAGAATGTAATGGAGTTTCTTTTAGCAGACTATAAAAAGCATTAGCCCTCTTTTGGTGGATACTCAACTCCTTACGAAACTCTCTTTTCTTTACCTCGTCAATTTCCGTTCTAATCAGCGATCAGCAATCCGATCAGCGGCCTTGATCGGAGTGACCTCCACTCCGATTTTCTTTTGGGATATTTCAGTCTGACAATGTTTTAGCAACATAGTTTCTGCGATCTTTTTTAATATTGACACATTTCAAGAAAAATGCCTGGCATACCTGAACTTTTTTCTCTTATTCTATTCTCTTATTTTATTTGTCTTTGTTTTACTACCACAGATAAACATATGACTGCAATTATCTGATTGACATTGGCCTCCCTGTTTATTTATGGGTGGTATTCAGGGTATTTTTCTCTTGCCTTTATTTATAGTTCTTATAGTACACCATAACTATCTGTTATTCGTATTGTATTTTTGGTCTATTTTATTTCCGAATTATTTCCACATTTTCTTGCTTTCTGTTTTCATTTTTTTCTCCGTTTGCTCCGCCATTTCCTTTGTTCTAGTTTTGTAACGCCTATTTTGCTTATCTCCGGGTAAGAACATGGGGTAGAAGATTGGGCAAACAAAATAGATCGAAACAAGTGCGTACGGCACTCAGTTGGTCGTTGGAGAGCTAAGTCGTGGATAAGTTGAAGATATGGGGCTTGGATTGGGACAACTACAAAAAAATGAAATAAAGGGGTCAAGAGATAATCTTGGGATAAACAAAACGAAAATAAACCGGAAACACCCCAAGGAATTTAATATAGGGCGCCAGTTGAGGTGCCTAATTATGCCTATTACAACTACTGGTTGTAACTAGGGAAATAATTATAAAACATCAAAAACATATCTTTTTCAAATAAAACTCAGAAAAGGGTTAGTTCAAAAAAATAAACAAAATGTTAGAAAACAAAATTTAACATTTATTTTTGTGTCACCACAAACAGTTACAACATGGAGAAATACAAGAATATATTATACAACATAATTAAAATTATAAAAGACTTACATGTTCTTTATTTACATTGCTAGATTGCTACAAAAATTTTAAATGGTTTTTAGGTTATAATATGGCCAATTTAGATTATCAAAATTTTTATGGATATCCTTTTTATAAAAAATATTATTGAATTTAATCTTACATATGGAATATCTTTTATATAAAATAATCAAATTAAAATTGTCTTATAACAACAATGGATTAAAGCAAAATGTCATATGTCAACATAACAACTTGAGACAGATTAAATTATGACATTTTTATCTACAACATAATATAAAACTTTAATTATTACAAATTCTTTTATTTTAATGCAAGCAATTATTAATAATGTCCATTTAACTTTGAAAAACTTGCTACTATCTCTGGATTGGAGCTACAAGGACAAAACTCTCAACTGGAACAAAAGGAAACCATTTCCATACTGGAACGAAGATCTGACATAGATAGAATTGGATCAAATAGGAAAACGATAACAAACTGGTGGGACATCCTATATATTGCTTCAAAATTATACCATATTCTGGTATACTACACAAATTACTTTTTTTTACTGCCACATATTTCCACTAAAGGGGCCAAAACAGAAGAACACAAATTTCACGGAGGATTTGCGGATCCATACTTGCCAACCACACAGCGAACCAAGTAAGAATCTATTAGGTCACACCTGACTCTACCGGCGACCCAAGTACGAATGACGAACTTAAAAATTTGTTCATATAACTTGAAAACAAACAAAACGCCGACACAGCAAAACACAACGAAATGGCGTAGATATCCTTTTCCGACGTATAAAAATTATAACGCGACTTCAAATAAAACATTAAAAGAAATTGCCGAAAAAGTTAAAACAATAAACAACTCTAAAATGGTTTATTTTAACTTGGCCGACCTTAGAAAGAGTTGAAAAGATATTTGGGTTTTAATACGTACAAAATATTCTTAGATTTATCAAACATATATAAGGGGATTTTAATATTTTAGATATACGAGGGGATCTCAATATAAAATGCTACAGTTTTTCTTATGTTTAAAAAAGATAGACGCGTCTATATAGTACTGATGTAAAAGTTATATCTTTTAACCCCTTAAGAAACTATCCCGAGATAATTCGTCTGACACTTGTTGTTTTTAAATAACCAACCCGAGATATCTCGTTTTGAGCTGTTTAGTGGGAATTTAAGCGATTTATTTCGTTCTTTCGAGTTTAAGGCGTTGAGTTCGAGGCAAAAATTTTTAGATATGTATTTGCACTGTACATAAAGTGTAAACATGTACCAAAAATAGATCACTTAGAAAGACAATCTTGCTGAAACAGCTGTAGTGATAATATTTTAAAATAAATTTTGTAGAAATGTTGAAAATAAAAGTTTCTCAGAAATTAACAAGAACCAAATAGACCAATACCTAAATAACAAATATTCACAACAAGTAAGTTAGCAAAACTATCAAATGTACTATATTCTGTATAAATTAAAAAGCAAGTTGTGTTTTATCTGCTTTTATATAATTTTATACCCTTTCAAACACAAAATTCAACTTCCATTATATAATGAGAAAATTTCGGTAAACGTTTTGATTTAAATTCTTTTCGAAGTTGGATTTAAAATCTGGCTAAGAGAAACAACACTTTAGTGACCTCCTTTAATCTACAAAACGCTCTGAATTCTAACTTTTTATTTATAGAAACTGCTCGAAAACATTTCTTTAATTTTCCGCTCCATAAAATAAGAATTTAGAAAGAAAGAGAATATATTATAAGTTACGGCTTCGTCGTCTTATTAGCATATTTATGAGTATTTATTAGTAACAACTCCGCACATCTTCACGACCAAACGACAATGAATTACTTTAATGGATCTGCAAAATGGCTCCCCTCGACTCCCAGCCCATTAACTACACAAGAATGGGACAACATACTAAAATACGAGCCAGTTAAGCGAATAAAGAAGAGCCGGGGAATATACTGCTAGTTTTATTGCAGTTCGGTGACATGTATTAGCGCTTTACCTGACGACTAAACACGCTACGTTATAGCTCTATAAAACATTGAATCGCTTTATTTGTTAATTAATTTTCTATCTTATTGGACGTTACTTTGTTCCTGCTGTTTTACCGCATATGGCGTGTCAAGTTGTAGTGATGGGTGGCGATTTTTAACGATCATATTAGGAGATGTGATTTTTCTGTCACTAAAAAATACTCGCTACAAAATAACAAAATAATGGAGGTGTATATCTGAATTTAAACAGAGTAGTTAATAGCTTCAACGAAAACTTGTGAAAATTTATTTTCTTCATAAAACTCTGAAGCTGCAAATCCACAACAACTGATTCTAAAGTGACAAATTTAAAGCCAAACTATATTGGCAGCTCTGGTGCGAAAACTTAAATAGAAATACACCATTGACGTTTGTCATAGACTCAGGCCAGAAAAATGAATAGGATATATGGGAAAAGTAAAAATAATTTTTAGAAAAAATTACACCAGCTAATGCTTTGGATGATAACTCACACATTTTCTCAAAACAAAGGCAAAACCATAAGATTTTTAGTCAACCAATTAGCTTACCAGAATTAAATTATATCATAAAAAATAGAAATAATACATCACCTGGATATGATGATATTGGATATCTTATGATATTCCAATTACCAAACAATGCCAAGATGTTTCTAATCAAAATTATAGATGATATCTAGATCAATGGGGAAAGCATAGAAGAATGGAAAAAAGCTATTGTAATACCAATACACAAAACCAAACAAACACCCCACCTATGTGACTCATATAGACCTATTGCACTTATGCCATGTATACTCAAGGTTTTCGAAATACTTAAAAACCGATTGGAATAGGGGTTAAATACTACCGGCTCTCTGCTAACTACACAATATGGTTTTAAAAAAGGTTTTGGCACCATAGATGTGGTGGCACACTTAGTTACAGACATACAAATAGACTTAACTCAAAACGAGTATAATGGAATGATGTTTCTAGATGTTAAAGGTGCCTACGACAATGTCAACTGGTTCATCTTACGGGAAAAAATGATGTTATTACAAATCCCTTAAGAAGTTGTAGACATGCAAATTATATATAAACAGGCAAGTAGGGCTCAAAGGACATTCTGGGCGCCTAGTAAAATACCAAACTACCTAATTTACACACACAGGTATCTAAAGCAACTATTATACAATATATCGATGATTTTGTTGTTTATACACGTAGTAAACATCTCGACAAATGCATCAATCGTTTGAATTCAAGCATGAAACTCGTTTTAAGATCCATAAGTGATTTAGGGCTACAAATATCCGCAGAAAAATCCAAAGTTATAATCTTCACCAGGCATAACATGAAACCCATGCAGAAAATTACAATAGATGATATAGAATTTCCAGTGGATACCAATGTCAAATACTTAGGAATCACATTAGACACAAAATTGACCTGGAAACGTCATATTGAACAAAAAGAGACAAAATGAATGCAATAATGGACAACGAGTAAATTTATTAAAATCCATGATGCAAACTTGCTGGGGTGCAGAACCTCAAACAGCTCTAATCTTCTATAAAGCTTACATAAGATCAATAATTGATTATGGTTGTATACTTTATGGAACAGTCAATAAAACAAATCTATGTAAGATGGATATTATACTAAACAAATCACTCAGAATATGGCTGGGAGCAAGAGCTGAAGCAATCGAACCTCCATTAGAACTAAGATCATTTTTAGTTGAAAAATGATTATTAAGTCACTAAAGAAAAACCCAGCTTCATAAAATTTCATAACTAAGCCTTTTTGGATTCACAAAAACTCTCCTGCTATTTGTGATGGATTATGAAACGTGACCTTAAAACCACAATCAAAGGTAGGGACCGACTACTTTGATCACTTTGTTTCCTGTGATGTGAATATACCCCTTTATTCGGAGTTAGCATCATTTAA